GAAGGGACCATTCCCTGGAGAAGGATGTCATGCTTGGTAGGGTGGAGGGTCGACGAAAGAGGGGGAGGCCTTCAATGAGATGGATTGACACGGTGGCTGCAATGATGGGGTCAAGTATAGCAGGGATTGTGGGGCTGGTGTGGGATGGGGCAGTGTTTCGTTCTGCTGTGCATGGGGTCGCTATGAGTCAGAAACAACTCGACAGCACTTAACAACAACAGCAACAACAACAAACAAGGCTGTGATGAGGAAAGAAGAAGCACTGGAGGGAGAGAGGTTACATTCAGGAGATCTGAGAAGAAACAAAGAGTTAACAGTTGTGAATCACTGTGTAGATGAAGATGGTTTAGAGATGAGAAATTCCAGAAGCCTTACTAGATTTTGGAGATCCCTAACAGCAATAGGGAGTTTGGAGGGAGGAAAAGATACAGATATTGCCATTTTAATCTTTGGGTTTCTACTATATATCCCTTTGGAAAGGGATATACTAGAGATACTTACCTGGAAAAGATTAGTAAACTTTTGGCAGCTGAAATGACATTTCTTACACACCAGATTTGATGAGAGACAAGAGAATAAAGCTTTAAAAAAAATTATTTTTTAAACTACATGTCTGCTCAGTGTCAGTTAAAGATTTGTCTGAACGTTTCTGAAGCGGGTTTTATGAAATTCTTTTCTAAAATAGGACCTTAATTTGATTTTTTTTTTTCCTTCTTAGATTCACACATAAACCACAATGGAAACCCTGGTACTTCAAATCAGATACCTTCTAATCCTCTTCAGCCTTTAGTTCCAGGCCCAAACGTGGAGAGTGAACCCAGAATTCAAACAGATGTACTAAAGCAGGCTACCAAGGATAGAGTTGGTGATTTCCATAAGTTGAAGCAAAGTAAGAATCAACTGATGAATATTATGTTAAAAAGATTTATTTAAATATAATATGTTTACAAGCCTGAATTAAGGTCTTTTATTATTATTATCTCTACTGAATGTGTAGTAAAGTTACGTGCATTTAAAGAGCACGTGTGATGGTGGTAAAATTTAAAGGAAAAGCAGGTTATAAATGGATAGAGACTATTTTAAAGAAGACTTTAAGCTTTTTCTGTTCTCTGATGTTAAATAATAAATTTCAGGTGAGTTGACTTTGCTGTTAGTTTCTAAGACTGTTAATTTCTTGGGGAAATAAGTAATTATAAATTTCTTTGGAGAAGTAGGGATGGGCAGGAGGGAAGGCAAAAAGATTTGAAGGCTTGAAGACTGTCTTTGTGAAAGTTTCAGTCCTGTTTTCCATTCCTTCCAATTACAATTTGCTTCTTTTAGGTATTAAAAGAAAAGCGAACAATTGGAATAAATTCCTAGTATTATGTAATAATGAAGTGTGGATAACCACTTCAACCCCCTACTGCTATTGAATTGATTCCAACTCATAGCAATCCTATAGGACACTGTAGAACTGCCCCACTGGAGTTTCCAAGGCTTTATCTACATCTTTCTTCTGAGGAGTGGCTGATGGGTTTGAATTCTCGACCTTTTGGTTAGCAGCTGAGTGCTTTAACCATTGCACCACTAGAGTTCCTTAAGTATTTCAGAGGTATAAATTCTGGTAATGGATAATGCATGTTAACTTACATAACCCTGTAATTAGAAATTCTTAGGAAGTATAAGAAAAATTCTGGTTGTAGAGAATAACTTGGAACAGGAGAATACCATTAAAGTGAGCTCACTTAAATTTTGCTTTTCAATGCTTTTACTTTTCGTGGCTTCTTTCCTTCTTCACCTTCTAAACAGATAGAATTTCTAGTAGTTCCAGTTTGCCTTTGTTTGATTTATATGATGGTTTCTCTGGCAGCCACTGTTTAGAGCAGTGTTTAGACACTTATTTGAACACAGGTTGCTTATAGGGTGAGAATTGTGCAGTGATAGCATTTGTGAATTTAATCAAGGTATTTTTGTTGGTCTTATAGCAGTAGTTCATATTGCTGCATATATAAGTATATAGTTTGCATACTTTTAATTATTTAATTGATTTTCCATCCATGATAGTTTGAAGCAGTATTTTGACTATTGCATGAAACATGTTTTTATTTACAAGAATGTGACTAGTGTTTTAAATACAATGTAAAATTATTTTCCAAATTCTACTAGGTGTTTGTCCTGAAAAATTTTATCTTAACAAAAAGAGATCTATGGTTAAAATATCCTAATCTGATACTTAAAAAATTTTCTTCTAAGCTTAATTTTTTATCCTTTAAGATATTTAATTGTTGCCCTAACTGTATTTTTTTTTTCAAACCAAACTTTGGGTAAAGAATGTGATTGGAAAATAATTGTTAGAGGAATATTAATCTCTGAAACTTATTTTTAAAAGGGCTATTGAGTTTTAAGGAGCTCTGGTAGCGTAGTGGCTAAGGCACTTGACTGCTTACCAGAAGGCTGGTGGTTCAAACCCACTAGCCACTCCTCAGAAGGAAGGTTGGGCGATCTACTTCCATAGTGATACTGTCTTGGAAACCCAAGGAGGGGTCACTATGAGTCGGGTCCAACTCGATGGCACACAACAACAACAACAATTGAGTTTTAAACTCTTACTCTAAATTCTTTTCCAATATACACATTTATGATTAATGTGTATATTGGGTTAAAAATCAATGCATGTACTATTTTGTGGTTTACTTTTTAAATTGACATTATTTTGTAAGTACATTTTTAATCTATCAGATAGTTATATATTTGTCATTTAAAATATATATACATATATTACAAATAGATGTACACATATGTCTAATACATATATTCTGTTGGGCTTAGGTACTAACTAACATTGATTCACTTAGTTATTCTTTTACTGAATGTTTAGATTATACCCTGTTTTTCTTATGTTAGTTGTCTTGACTATGAATTTTTTTCTCTTAATTTATTTTCTGCTCCTCCTACTTTGGGTGTTCCTTTAAAAGTGTAGTCCCTAAACTGAAATTACTAGGTCAAAGCACTAGACTAGCTTTATGGCTTGTATTACATATTGGCAGATTGTTCTCTAGAACAGTTTTATAATGTCACTGGAGATGGTTAAATATATCTATTTCCTTGTGGCCTGACCACAATGAATTTTATCTTTTTCTTGTGATATTTCAAATATAATGATTTGTTAAAGGTCTATTAATAAGCATTTACTTTCTGGTGACTTGCCATTTTTGTGAGGAATTTTACTGCAATTATTTCTTGGTATATAATCTGTGTATCAGCTTTGACCATTTAGCCAGAGAACTTTGGAGATCAATGTAATCTCTTTCCTCCATCAGGTCTTTATGTAATTCAGATAGTACCTTTGATAAATTCCTTTTATCACAATTTTCCTCTTCTATTGCCTTTCCTGACATGAAACTTTATTATGTTTTAAGTTTTTCAGTTAAAAACAATTTTATTGTAATAAAATGTATATAACATAAAATTCATTGAAGTATACAATTTAGTGGTATTTAATACATTTACAATTTTATGCAACCATTATCACTGCCTAGTTCTAGAACGTTTTCATCACCCCAAAAGGAAACCCTATACCCATTAAGTGGTCAGTCATCTTTCCCTTCTTCCTGCAGCTCCTGACAATCACTGATCTACTTTCTGTCTCCATAGTTTTACCTATTCTGTGTTTGTTGTTACGTGACGTCGGGTCGGACCCAACTATCATAGTGACCCCTCCTTGAGTTTCCGAGGCACTATCACTATGGAAGTAGATTGCCTCATCTTCCTTCCAAGGAGTGGCTGCTGGGTTTGAACCACCAGCCTTCTGTGTATGACACAAAAATGGAATCATACAATTTTGTGGCCTTTTACATCTGGCTTCCTTCTAATAAGTATAAGGTTTTCAAGATTCATTCATGTTGTAGTGTGTATTAGTAGTTTATTCCTTTTTATAGCTAAATAATATTTCTCTGTTGGTATACCAAAAAAAAATATCCTATTACTGTTGAGTAGATTCTGACTCATATTGGCCCTATAGGATAGAGTAGAAATGCCCCATAGGGTTTCCAAGCCTGTAAATGTTTATGGAAGCAGACTACCACATCTTTCTCTTGCAGAGTAGCTAGTAGGTTCAAACAACCAAACTATTGGTTAGCAGTCAAGTGCCTAACTACTGCACCACCAGGGCTCCTTGAAACCAAATTTTTTGCACTTGAGTCAATTCAGACTCTTAGGGACCCTATAGGACAGACTAGAACTGCCCATAGGGTTTTTCCAAGGCTGTAAGTCTTTATGGAAGCAGAGTGCCACATCTTTTGGAGGAGCAACTGGTCTGTTTGAACTGCAGACCTTTCGATTAGCAGCTTAGTGCCTAACCGACTGTGCCAGCAGGGCTCCTTTGTATGAATAACCAAAAAAAACCAAACTCGGCTCTGACTCATAATGACCCCTCCTTGGATTTCCATGGTGGTATCACTACAGAAGTAGATTGCCTAACTTTCCTCCCGAGGAGTGGCTGGTAGGTTTGAACCGCCAGTCTTCTGGTTAACAGTCAAGTGCCTTAGGCACTATGCCACCAGAGCTCCTTTTGTATCCATTCAACAAATGAATGGATAAATAAAATGTGGTTTATTCATATGAATAGACCACATTTACCCATTCATTTGTTGATAGATACTTGAGTTATTTTTGCCTTTTGGCTATTATGAATGGTGCTGGTATGAACATTTGTGTACAAGTTTTTTTAAACACCTGTTTACAGTTTTTTGGCTATGTACCTTGGAGTACAATTACTGAGTCATATGATAATTCTGTGTTTAACTTTTTGAGGAACTATCAAGCTGTTTGTTCTGGTAGCATAGTGGCTAAGACACTTGCCTGCTAACCAGACGGCTGGCGGTTCAAACCCACCAGCCACTCCTCGGAAGGAAGGTTGGGCAATCCTACTTCCGTAGTGATACTGCCTCGGAAACCCAAGGAGGGGTCGCTATGAGTCGGGGCCGACTCGACGGCACATAACAACAACAACAACATCAAGCTGTTTACCACAGCAGCTGCATCAGTTTGTATTCCTACCAGCAATGAATGAGGTTACCAATTTTTACATATCCTTGACAATATTTGTTATTTTCTGGTTTTGTTTTATAGCCATCCTAGTGGGTATGAAAAGGAGCCCTGGTGCAGTGCCTAAGGCATTTGACTGCTAACCAGAAGGTTGGTAGTTCAAACCCACCAGCTGCTCTGGGGAAGGAAGATGAAGGAATCTACTTCATAAAGATTTACCACCTTGGAAACCCAATGGGGGTTGCTATGAGTTGGAATTGCCTTGTTGGCAGTGAGTTTTTGTTTTTTTTTTTAATGGGTATGAAGGTGTGTCTTATTGTGATTTTGATTTATGTTACCCTAATGAGACACAGTGATTTAAGGCATTATTAGGCTGCTAACCAAAAGGTTGGTGGTTCAAACCCACCAGCTCCTGTGCCCTAGAAACCCTATGGGACAGTTCTCTGTCTTTTAGGGTCACTATGAGTCATAATTTACTCGATGGCAGTGGGTTGCTTTTTTTTTTAAAAATGATTAGAGCATCTTTTCACATGGTTGTTGACCATTTATATCTTCTTTGGAGAAATATTTATTAAATTCCTTTGCCTATTTTTTAAATTGGGTTTTTTTTTGTTGTTGTTGAGTTGTAGGAATTCTTTATATATTCTAGATATTAAACCCTTATAAAAAATATGATTTGCAAATATTTTTCCCATTCTTTGAGTTGTCATTTTACTTTCTTGATCACATCCTTTGATAAACACAGTTTCTAATTTTGATGAAGTCCAATTTGTCTCTTTTCTTTAGTTTGTTGATGCATTTGGTGTCATATCTAAGAAACCATTGTCAAATTCAAGGTCATGAAAATTTACCCCTATGTTTTTC